CCAATTATCGCGGATGTCCGAAATTCCCCCGACGCATAGTCGGAAATAAAACTGTGAATAAGAGTGCAAACTCAGAAAATGTAAATAATGGTGTTAAAATGCCTAGTACTTCTAATGCAAATTTGAGTTATTCTGCTGTTGCCTCCGGGCGCAGTTATGCTAGTGTAGCCAAGGGTGACGTTCAAAGATCTGTAAATACTGTTAATAATTTTAATGTTGATATGCATAAACAGACTGTCAGCAGTGGTGGTGCTGCTAGTGCTACTGTTGGTTCGGGTATGTTTATGGACTTTCTCAAAATAATCAAAGAGGTGTGTGATGTTTTTAAAGGCACCACAGTTATGAATGTTTTTCAAAAAATCTCGGCAGCCATGCCTGAATTGCGGGCTGCGGAGCATTCAATCGATAAGTTGTTTATATTATTTAATGTTTTTGACAGTGTTTTTTCCAATGTTGAATAATTATGTATAGTGTAAACAATAGGTACTTAAGTATTATTACTTGGAACGCAAATGGTTTGTTCCGTAAGATTAATGAATTGCGGGATTTTGCAAGTGAGCACAGTCCCGACTTATTTTTCCTACAAGAACACAAGCTTGACCCTAAAATACCATTGTGTGTGGCAAATTACTATACCTACAAGTCGCACAGAAGTACTACCGCTCCTCGCCCACGTGGAGGTGGCACTGCACTTCTTGTCAAACGCTGCATTCCCCATTATCACGTGAACATTCCACAGCTCTCAGCCGTAGAGGCCACAGCTATCTGCATCACAACAGACACTAACACTCCATACACTTTTGTCTCCACCTACATTCCTCCCATGAGACCTGTGGCTGTCGTTCAGGATAACCTTGAAATTCTACTCACACTTGGTACACATGTTATTATTGGTGGAGACTTGAACGCAAGACACCGCGCATGGAACTGCTACACTTCTAATGCAACAGGCAGACTGATTTATTCCTTGGCCGCGTCGGCACGGTTTAAATTGGCAGTTCCAAGTACCCCAACACGGTATGCTGCTGGGTCCACCGCAATTATTGATTTTTTCCTTGTTGCGGAACACCAGTTCTCCACTGGATATTTCCGTACTGGACGAACTTTCAAGTGATCACAATCCTGTTAGGATTATTCTGGACCTCAGCAGATATACTACATCAGACACCAGGGCCTTTCGTACAGACTGGCAGGTCTTTGCCAAAGCCCTCTCCAACACCCAGTACACTTTACCCACGATACACAAGGGGAGTGACATTGATAGTTTGGTCAAGGACCTCACTGAAAATATACAAAATGCTTATGCGAAAGCACAAGTTGAAGTTAAACCTGGTATGAAACACAAGCCTCAAGAGCTCAGATTATTGATTAAAGAGAGAAATGCTGCAAGACGAGCGTATCAACGCACCAGACACCGTGATGATAAAAGGAACTTCAATCGCCTGTGCGAAGCGGTCAAGTTTCTTCACAAATAAACTCTCACAAGATCGCTGGACTAACTACCTCAGATCTCTTTCTGCAGAGGATAACTCCTTATGGAAAGCAGTGAAGAGGTACAAAAAATGCTATAACGCCATTCCGCCCCTTCACGGCCCTCAACGGATCCATTACACCGGAACTGAGAAAGCAGAACTTTTAGCTCAGCATCTGGAATCTCAGTTCTGCATTAACAACATTTCAGACTCAGACACTGAACAGCTTATTGCTGACTTCCACTCCAATTTTACAACACAGCCATGCACAGACAACATTATCTCAGCCATGCCATCGGAGGTCTGTCTCTATATCATGCGAATTGCGAAAAGGAAGAGCCCTGGAGTAGACGGTGTCACAAATGAGATGATCAAGCACTTCCCTGTCAAGATAATACTCTACTTCACCAAGTTAGTGAATATCATACTACGATGGCAATACTTCCCAACTTGTTGGAAAACTGCCAAGATTGTCCCTCTGCTAAAGCCCAACAAGCCTGCGACTGCTCCTGAGAGTTACCGACCAATCAGTTTGCTAAGCTCAATTAGCAAAATCGTGGAAGCAGTTATTCTACATAGACTAAACATCTTCCTGGATGAGCAGAAGATCCTCATACCCTATCAGTTTGGGTTCAGGCGTAAGCACTCGACAACGCATCAACTCTACAGAGTTGTTGAGTTAATAAGCAGTGGGATGCAACAACATCGTGTCACTGGTGGACTTTTCTTAGATGTCGCCAAAGCCTTCGATAGAGTATGGCTGGATGCCCTCATATACAAATTACACAACCTGGGACTCCCAGGCTACATCACAAACATAATTAAATCCTACCTAACCGGTAGACACTTTGTCGTTCATGTTTCTGGTTCATTATCCACAAACCGGCCTATACGGGCTGGTGTTCCACAGGGATCCCTTCTGGGCCCTACCCTATTCAATATTTACGTGAACGACATCCCCACTACACACAACACAACACAACACTAGCCATGTATGCAGACGACACAGCGATCCTTACGCAAAGTGCATTTGTTAGTTCAGCAATACAACAGCTACAACACCACATCCACTCGCTAGAGACTTGGCTGACCAAATGGAAAGTCAAAGTGAATGTCGACAAGACACATGCCATACTGTTTACTACTAAGAAGAATTTCCCGACTCACCTGCAAATGTATGGTGTGGACATTCCCTGGGTCAAGCAGGTCCCTTATCTTGGGGTGATCCTCAGTAAATCTCTTACATGGAACCCACACGTTACACATATTCTCAGGAAGTTTCGAGCTAGTAAAGCTTCACTCTTCCCCTTAATTGCTCGAAACAGTGTTCTATCTATTGATAATAAGTTGCTCATTTACAAAACCATGTTGCGTCCAATTCTTAGTTATGCATGCCCCGTCTGGGCATACTCGTGCAAAAGTTTGAGAAGGCAGTTACAAGCTGCCCAAAACGGGGTATTGCGTATGATATGTTATGCCCCCTGGTACATTCGGAATAGCCAAATTCGTAAAGAGTTAAGAACAGAGGATCTTTTTGATTTTTATTGCCGCCTATCTAGGGCATTTTATGATAAACAGGAACTTCTGGACAATCCTGTGGTTGTTAACTATTGTTATGATACTAGGGACCCCAATTTCAGTAAGCGCCCAAGGGCGATCCTAAATGTTAGTAATGTGTAATTTTGTATATGTGTTATGCAAATTGTTGCTCAAATTCTTTATTGTATATTGTTCTTTTTTCCTCCTGATTGCTTTTTGTTTTTACTAGTGGCACTAAGGCGTCGCACTTCGTATTTTGTTTCTCTTGTGTGTACATGTATTCTTCTGTGAAATAGTTGTTAAAAAATAGTTAATTATGTATGGATTAGTAATTAGGTACTTAAGGAAAAAATATGTATTTAACTATTAGCAATTATGAATTTAAACTCTTGCTCATTTAATTATTTAGCACATTCAGTTACATTTCTCATAATTCGAAACTTTTATCATGTTATTCGATGAGGGGTAGGGCTATGGCGCCCAGGCACCCTGGTGGTTAAGCACCGCAGTTCAACAAGTAGACAGATGTTTTGTTTTGCACCCGCTAAGTCTTTCTGCACCGATGGGCGAAAAATCAAGCATAGGTGCGAAGGAAAGGTATATAGAAAGAGGAGCAATTTCGTATTTGAGGAGAGTAAAAAGGAACTTCGTACATGTACGAGTTCAAAAGGCCAGAAAGAAAAGATGGGACAAAATAAAATTTAAAATAAATGGCCAAAAATAATAGAGGGGGAAAAAAAGGGCCTATAGAAAGAAAAGGAAAAGAAGTAGAAAATATCCTAAAATACGATTGTGTCCATGAGTGTAGTTAAAAGGAGTTCATTTGCAAAAATTACTGTCTTTAAGAAGCAAACTTTAGCTAAGTTAAAAAAAAAATGAATTTCTACATGGTAATGTGTATGCCTTTATCTTGAGACCTAACTAGAAAAGACATATATCATCACAGAGATGTAAATAATATTTTAACTAAAGTAACAGGAACTATTACCTTTCCCAAAAAATTCATGTATATTTCAGAAAAACAGTAATTGACAAAATCATAAATCCATACACAGTGTGAGAGCATTTCAGCAAAAATAAATTGTACAGTTTATTTTTCTTAAATATTAGTTAAATATAAAATTAATTTATTAATTTAACCGTTGTAATTTATTATAGTACAAGTTTAACAAATTCCGTCAATCTCACTGTATTTATATTTGATCATAAGTTTGAGACCTGAAAAAAAAAAAAAAAAAAAAAGTCGGGGATCTTAGTTACAAAAATCACAATCTATACTCATCGATGGTCAAGAGATCCCCATTTTTTTCCCTCTCAAGAAATTCCTAAGCACGAAAAGGGGGCCTCCGAAGGGTGTGAATTGCTGATAAGAACAAGGAGGTTAGAATAGGAGGACTACTGATAAGGAATGTGGCGTCTCTACGGAATAGTTACGAAGAAAAGAACCACATGACTTGCTACTATTACTAACTATTGTATAATGCTAGAATCTTATGAAAATAATAAATAAAGAAATTTAATGGCACTTTAGTGATAGAGAATAAGATATTGTATAGAGAACAGAATGTTACTTATCTGAATATTCCGTGTCAGGAATCTGAATATTTCTTTTGGATTTCTCGTGTTGATAGTGAACAGCGAACAAGATATTTGAAGTTTCGAAGAAGCGAAGTTTCCTTTTTCAATTTGATGAATGAGACATTGCATAGGAAAGGTGCATTAAAATTTTTTAGAGAGTTGAAAACATTTACTGAAACACTTATATAAAATTTTCGGAGCTATGTTTAGACACTGCCTCCAGCTTTCGTGATCGCAGCGCCGGTCCCGTGGCGTAGCTAGGATGGGGAAAGGGGGGACACATGTCCCCGGGCGCAACATCCAGGGGACGCCAAATTGATGCTACGAAATTTTTTAATGAAATGTTTTCTATTCTTGGCACACAGAAAGGGGCCCAAATTCTTCAGTTGTCCCCGGGCGCTGAAATCCTAGATACGCCACTGCAGTCCCTCATGTTGATTTTCTCATGTGTGTCGAAAAAAAAAAACTCGAATAAACCGCATCGTACGACAGATGCGAGTAACGAAATGAATTTGTGAGTACCGAATCGGTACTTCGAGTAAACCGATGTACCCGTTACTCGGTAACGAATAGATACGGTTTGCTCCAGCTGTAATGTCTAGGCGCTTAACCTCCTTGGCTTGTCTCTTTGTTAAGCTTGGCTTGCTTGCGTTGCTTTTGCTTTGCGCTCCTGCACTTGTGCGATGCTACTTGGGAAAGTAAAAGTGCGTGTGGAGTGAGAGACTAACAGTTATTTTTAAGGCTGGAATCCTGAAAGACACTCCACAAATCAAGACATTACTGAGCTCCACCTTCGAATTTTGCCGATTTATAAATTACAAGCCGAGAGGCAATTCATTATTTTCCATTCTACACCGTGTAAGTAGGTCGACACTATTTCCGTATTATCCATCATTTCTGCCAGAGAATATCAACTAAGATTCATTAAACATTTCTAAGTGATTATGGGCCTGATGAAGAGTCAAGTTCTGTTCCCTGTAATAAGGTGCTTTGTTTATTTAGAATGGAATCTGTTCTCCTGCAGTACACAGAAATTGCACTCCTAGTGAATATGGAAATTATTTGGATAAAAGTAATTTAAATATTCATACCTGTTTGCATATGGAAATACAATGTGTCGATTAGTTTAAATTTGAAATTATTAAGCATGTAAATACTAGTAGAATTGAAATCCCACATAATGTAGCATGTACAAGTCATTGCTTAATAAATAATATAAGAAGTTAATCTTTGATGAAGTGTTTCTTGGAGGAGATGGTATGCGTAACATCACATAAAAGATGAACTGCATTGCTATTTTCAGAAAGATACCACATATGTATTTGCACAGGATAGAAAAAGATATTGTGAAGCATCTTAGAATTAATATCCTTAAAGTTAACTCCCATTTGTATCCATGTTCAATATGAACTGCATCAAGAGGTGTGTAAGAAGATGTATGAAATAAGCATGTATGTACCTGTGCAGCAAAGAACTTCGTGTGAGGCAAACCTATGTTTATGCTGGCAGAAATCTCATAGGTAACAATCTATTTTAGGCAAAATGTTATAAAGCTGCATATACTCATTTACAGAGCACAGAAACCTGGTCATTGTGTAGTATGTAATGAGTAATTCGGTAGTGAGATAAAGATACGCATGCTTTCCCACATGGAAGAGAGATTTATGCAATGTGTTGCATGGCTTTTAGGAAAAAAGGTATATGAAGAATCATGTGTATTTTCATACTAAAAAGAAACCGTAAGATAGTAAATGGTGAGGTATGTGAAAAGTTATTTAGAGAAAATTGCATTTTAAGTTGTAGATTGTAGAGATACAGTGCTTGTTCACACAGTAGAAAATGCATGTGTAATATATCTAAATTATTTAGTAGAAAGCACAATTTAAACATATATATGCATATTTACATTGGAAAGAAACCCACTATTTGTGAAGTCTGTAACATTTCATTTAGGTTTAAGGGTAAATCATGTAAATGCATGTTTATGCCTAGTGGAAAGAAACTTTGCATCTGAAGTTATGTGTTAGTCATTTAGAAAAGAGTAACATGTTTATTCTGATGGGTGAGAAACCTCATATGTGTGAGGTATGTAAACAATCATTTAAAGACAAATGTGATTTAAATAGACATATGCTCATTCACACAGAGAAACCTCATTTATGTGAAGTATGTAATAAGTCATTTAAAAATAAGAGTTACTTAAGTGTTCATATGCTCATTCATACAGGTGAAAAACCTCATTTATGTGTAGTATGTAAGAAATCATTTAGACAAAAGTGTGATTTATATAAACACATTGGTAGTCATACAGGAGAAAAACGTCATACATGTGATGTATGTAAAAAATTATTTAGAAGAAAGCAGAATTTGAATGTTCATATGCTTATTCACACTGGAGAGAAACCTAATATGTGCAAGGTATGCAATACTTCATTTAGATTTAAATTTTCTTTACGTTCACATATGCTTATTCACACAGGAGAGAAAGTTCACATATGTGAGATATGTGAAAGGTCATTTAGTCGTAAGGCTTACTTAAACTCACATTTACTTATTCACACTGGAGAGAAGCCTTACATGTGTGAAATATGTAACAAATCATTTAGAGTAAAGAGTGGTGTAAAATCACATATGCGTACTCATGCAGAAGAGAGGCCTTATGTATGTGAAGTGTGCAACAAATCATTTAAATTCAAGGATTATTTAAGCAAACATATGCGTATGCACACTGGAGAAAAACCTTATGTGTGTGAGAAATGCAACAAGTCATTTAGATTAAAGTGTAAATTAAATAACCATATGCATATCCATACAGATGAAAAACCTTGTGTGTAAGTTAAGCAACAGTTCATTCAGATTAAAAGTTTTGAACAAACATTATGCTTATTCACACAGGAGTGACAATGTAAGGTATTAACAGTTCATTCAGATCGGAGGATCCTTTAAACAAGTACATGTTTATTCTTACAGGACTCAAAAGTTGGTATGTGAACTTCTCTACAAATCACTTGAATGAATGCATAGTTTGAAGATATATGGGCTTCCCTGCTTAAAATACATTACCAGTGTGTCTTACTTTTTTGGAGAGAAAGCTTCTTTAATGAGAATATTTGCTTATGTATGCTGGAAAGAATTGTCTGTACAGCCGAAAATTCTTTTTTACAGAAATTTGGCAACCAGCTCTACGATGGAGGAGCCATGCATCTATTTTAATATTATTTCTTCCTGCTTTTAATTCTGAGGAAAATTACTATTCAGTAGAATTTTTCAGTTTTGTTTCTGAGCATTTCAATTCATGGAAAATACTTTACCTTAGAGGTACGAACAAAAAACATAATTACGTGTTTAACAGAGAAGGGTGGCTACCTCTGGCAGTAATTTGATACAATTAGTTTTTCTTTATTTTGGATGGAAAATGCTTTGCAATATCTTTTAAAATAGCTTTGAAGTTTTTTTTTTTTTTTATTCCTAAGGTACAACTCTCCCCTTCCACATCAACACTGCTAAGTAGAGTTTCAAATGGTGTCTTACTACATACCCCCCCCCCCCAATTTTTTTTTTTTTTTTTTTTTGTTCTGCCATTTTAAAGAACCCCATATCAGCTCGATAGTTTGTGAACTCCAGAATGCAGATTCACAAAATTAAATTCATAGTTCACTTTAAAGAGCTCAAAACTAGCCTTTTGGGATTCTGTTTTAGAGGCGGTGCAGGAGTCTCGATAAATAGTATCTTTTTTTGATATTTTCTTTCACTACATTTAACAAAAATGTGGCTTTTCGGTTGGGTACTGTAACAAGAATGATTTCTTAAGTTTCCCATGTCTTTCAAATGTCACAATGCATTCTTCAATCGACTTAAATAAAATTTCATTTCATGTAAATTCAAACATTGATGGTTAGTTACCCAGCAGTATGTTATGCTCTTGTAAGGAACTAATAGCATCACTGTCATTATTCGGTAGCTGTCGCAGATCCATGATTGAACTTTAAACTTTGAACAAAAAACTCTGTTCGTAAAATTTCTGCTTATGGGTGTTCTTAAAATTTATCAATGGCATATGGTTGCACTAGTGATTAATTTGTATTATGTTGCCATAGCTGGCAACTAGTAGCTCTTTACAGGTAAATTTTGGCATTTTCTCTGTTAACATACAAGTGCTCAAAAAATTGCTTAACCTTCTTGAATATAGTTATGTAAGTCTGAAGACAAAAGAATTTAAAACTTCATTAGAAATTTAAAATTTTAAAAATAAAATTTATGTTTTTATGCACTTTGAGGATGCAACCCAGCTGAACATACTCATGTAAAATATAAGTAAAAAGCTTTTCAACTTGATTTAAATTCAATATTATTATTCTATAAAAAAATTTATCAAGTATAACACTGCATGCATAAATCGTATCATGCTGTAACTGAACTAGTATAATATTACAAGCAGCTGTAACTCAGCCGGGGAAAAAAAAAAAAATTTAAAAATGAAACACTATGATTTAGCCGGAAAAGTATATTGCATTTTTGAAGTTGTATTTTATGCTTTAGATACTATGTGAAACAAAAAACATGCTTCATGCTATGATACGAAGAATCGCCCCACCCTCTTCACGCACACACACTTTAGATCATCGAGGACTGTAAGGGTCCCTTTTTTATTTTTTATAAATATAGGTTGTAATATATCTTTATTCAGGAAAAAACACCATTGAACAATTTTATTATTTTATACATCTCAAAGCTCTTATTCAGATTTTCAACCCCTTTGGCTTCCTAGGGGCACCTTTTCAACTTTTGGATAAATTTTAGTTTGCATCTAAAACGGGCCTTAGAAATATTTTCCCTCCTTTCACCAACTGTGAAAGTTTATTTCAAAAACAACCTATTTGTATAAAGCAGAGGGGCAAATTTCTCTTACGTTCTCTAGTCTTTCATTTGAAATTAACAAAGAATTAAAAAGAATTTCCCTAAAGAATAAAAGCATGCTTTCAAACCACAGTTTTTGTGATTACACTATGAGCTGGACTTAAGTACATTTCCATTTTAAGTGAGCTTTCCCTTTGTGTGATCTTAACACACCTCACAAAGGAAAGAAGGCGTGACTCCGAAATGACAAATTAGTTGTCAATCACCTCTTCTCATTTTCCTTGAATTCTAGGATTTTGGAAAATACGAAGCAGCGGGTATCTTTCGGGGACTAACATGCCACATTTAACTCCTACAATTGTGTAGTTTTGACCCCAGATGCCAATTTTGAAATCGTTGTCTTTCTCTTTGGAAAGGCATAAGTGCTGAAATGAAAATTTTAGCTAAACACAGACAAATGAAACTCGAGCTGAGTACACAAAGAATAAATGAAACTAATTTACTTGTATTCAGTCCTAGTACAGGGTCAGTAAACTTCCATCCCTCCATGAACATAATATTGAATCCTAAATGACTTATAAATTAATCATGAAAAATTATTACATTATAAACTGTTATACTAATAAAGAAATTCTGTCATATCACAGAGTAGAAAAGAAGACTGGTGCTGCCATCTATTGGTGTGGTGCCCTCAGTGTGAGCTATATACCGGTTTTAAAATCATATAAATAATCATATGTTAATTATCACTTCTGACTGAAATGAAATAAATACATAAGATTCATCATATATTTGCAGATTTTAAATTTTTTCTTTCCTTCCAATAGAATTTATCAATCTTATGAAACCGTAATTTATGAAATAAAGAACAATTATGATCTAAAGGGTATCAAAATTTACCCTTTAGAATAGAAAGAATTAAAAGAAAAAGCTTAATATTTATTTGTTTACTTTATTAAACATTTCTTTCAATGTACATTGTTTAAGTTGTTAAAGTTGTTTCGTTTCATGTGATAATACTTTCTCTTTAATTCTATTAAACAAACACAATTTCTTGTTTAGTTACAAAGTTCCGCTGTTCAAGTCCTATAATTGCTGTGTTGAGAATACCGACTAATTTGTCAATCGAAATTTTTTCGTTTTCAATAACCTCTGGATCACTTTCTTCACTATCGGAAGCAAATTATAATGATGAGGAACTTGATTTAAATCATATCAAAGACGGAGTACATCAAGATGAAATACTGCACTTAGTAAGGAATTATAAGCCAAATAAAATAAAAACATCTGCCCTGAAGATAAGGATAGTGCTGACAGATCAACTTCCAATTCATTGCATGCCGCGGCGTGAAATTGATAAACAGATTTCGAAACATACTTTCACTTTGTAGATCCTTTACATATTAGTAAATATATATCGGAAATTCTATTTGACATAATCGAAAGTTCAAGTTTACTTTTATAAAATTGCTCTAACAGTCTGCAAAAAATAATAAGCCGGATCCAATTCGAAGATTAAGGAACAACGCAATCTGCAACATTAACTGAATTAGATAATTTTAGCTTAGCTTATACCATCCGTTACACATTAAACGGGCATGCGCACACACATATTCGCAGCCGTAAAGGTCTTACATGCACTCGTAAACGCCTGTGCGGACGCTTGCGCAGAAAGTTTGTAGCTTTGAGGTCCGAATTAACGACTTTTGACTGTATACCAGTCCCCTTCATAGGGTTAATTAAAGCTGAAATTACAATCTAAATTTTTGCTGAAGTAGAACAGGTATGGAAAGAAGTCTCTATACTTGTTCTTGACCTCAATACTTGATAATTTATTTTTCTGAGATAAAATTTATATATGATAGAGCATATTGCCTTTTCTTTTATATATTTAAATATGTAGCATTTATACAACCACTAGCATAAACTGGAATTCTGAATAAAAATGCGGCAAAATTACATCAAATCTTTGAAATTAGGACAAGAATATTATGAAAGTAACTAATTACTAAAAAATATATATGTTGCCATAAAAGACCAAAATTTGGAGAATATCGACATTTACATAGTCCCTTGGTGTTTGTCGGAAATATTTGCTAAATATCCTTTTTTCTGACACACAGGCAAATGTCAACATTCACCATGCACTGATAGTGAATGTTGAATAAAAATGTTTTTGTTACATTTTCAGATAACTTTATTATTAAAACATTATGATATATGTCAGAATAGGAGAAAGCTTAAGTAACAGGACATGTATTATAAACTGTTGAACTTAACAAACAGTATATTCTAAATGAGAAAAGAAAACAATACCAATAATAAACTTACCTAATTATGTGATTTACATTACACAATCATATTTATTGCAACAACTTACACTGTTAACCTTTAAAAGACGGTTGGCCTAAGAATCGGCCAGAGCTGCAGTGTCTCAAAAAGACGGCTGTGGCCGAAATATCGGCCAGCGAATTCCCCCCCCCCATCCTTCAGGGTGCGGAGATAGTCATTGTCTGAATAACCTCCCTTGCCACTTATGCGAGATGACCTTCGTGCCTCCCAATTTTGGTGGGGTTTTGTAAATTCCCTTTCGTTTCCCTCAGCAGTGAAATCTTAGCAATTTTACATCATTATTAATTTCAACAGCTTTTCAGTGTCGTTAAAAATGTATTTTTTTCTTTATATTTCCGCTTTTTAGTGTAACTTTTGTATTTAATATTGCTGTTTGAAACATGCAAAATGCAATGGAGTGCAATGCAATGAAAATATAAACAATAAAATCTGTTTTTAAAGTAAAGGAAAATAATTTAAAAAAACACTAAAGGATAAAAAAAGCTTTTATCACAAAATTGCAAGAAAGAACAACGAACAATAAAGTAGTTGTAAGATGAAATAACTTATGATACAATGTGGGGGGGGGGGAATCAATAAATGAAAGTGAATAAGAATACTAATGAAAAGGTAAATGAATCTAATAAAAGAAAAATACAATGGGATTTATTTGATGTATAAATATAAGCTGTTACACAATGCTTAGAAACAAATAAAAGCGAACTGCCAATTTATACGAGAAACAAATAGTTAAACATCATTTCAAGTATAAATTAAAAATGTCAATTAGTATATGTAATTCTAAACTAAATTCAGTTTGGAAACAGATAAAAGCTGAATAAACTATGAACTGATTATAGGCGTGCATTTGCTGCTAAGGCATATTTTCATTATGATGCAATGTCAAAAGTTAATATTCCAACATATGACAATTAGTTAGCTACGAAATCTCACCACAATATGTTTCCCTAGTTTAGGGAAAAGAAACAGCAGAAAAGAGAACAAATTCTTTTATATTATTTCTTGGTCTCTTATCTGAAAATTAACAAAGGCGACCTACAGGAAAAGTTGCAAAAGAGTAGTAGTTTCCCTTTACAATGGCAGGTAAATGGGGTTTGGAAATGCACTTGGATTTCCCATCTTTTTAAGTGAAACCTTTCCAAACTGCCCCGTCTCTTAAATGTTAAGACACTGAATTGCATAAGAGATCCTTCCTTTTAGAATGTCTGTTTTCTCAACTGATCATTTTGACTGCCACCAGATCATATCTGTGCTTGTTGACATGCACTGATGATGATCTGAACATATAAGAATATAACCAAATAGTTGGTCTTTCACCAATGTGTTTGATATGTGTAGACATTCCCCAGTTTTAGTCTTTAGTAACACATATATTTATTATGCATGTGATCGTGTATTAAATGTGTATTGGTTTTCAAGTATTTCATTTAATGAATGAAATGCAAATGTCACATAAAATATTAATATAAACTGAAAGAAAAATGGAAAAAAAAGTTGTATTTTATTCCCTCAGTTACTGGTATCAAAGTCAGGGGGAAAAAAGGTGAAAGAGACCATAAAATTCATAATGTGAACGTTTAAAATGGTTGAAAATACTAATTTAAATTCTTTTAATACTTGGAACGTACTTGCATGTAGTTTTACTGTATTGATAGGTTATTGTGTAATGCTAGAAAGTATCATGCATGACAACATGCATAAAATTAGTAAAGAATGATTAAAAATATCTATCTTAATACTTATGTAAATATGCGAATTTGATTAGGTTCATGTAAAACCATTATCCTAAAATTTTCAGATTACTGATGGTCAGCATCCGAGGTCCAACTAGCCAAAAAAACATTGTGAAATCCTGTTACCATATTTTAACGTCTGAATGAAAATTGGTATAAGTCATTTCAACTAAAGTTTGTGTAAAAGAAGCTTTTCTGGATAAATAATAAAAATATTGGTTTTGAAAGGAAGAGCTTAGAGAAAAACTTTTCTGTGTGATATTTACTTGCATCAATGGTTCAAGAAGAATGGCATGAAGAACAAGCGTGTATTTATGAAAGTATTACTATTGCAGTTGGTCCAAGAATGTAATAGAATAACCAAATCCAGAATCTTTACCTTCCTTGTGAATCATTTGTTTGACCAATTCCTCTTTTTAAAAAAATTTCACGCCAGTATATCAACAGTTCTAAAAAATGCATAACCTTTTCTTTTTAGCCCAGAAGGGCTATTAATTTCGTTTTGGCATTTTGTCTTGAAAACTTTAAATGCTGGTTCACTTTTCAAAATATTGCCACCAAATATTACAGCCCTGCATTATATTTAAAGAAATTCAATAATGAAGAATCTGCATAAATATATGTATGTTTCTCACTTTGTGATAAAACGACAGTACGTAAAGCCATCAAATTTTGAATAATGTACGTTTCTACCCGAATACGGGCATCTGGAAGCTCAAATTTGGAATTTATTATCTATTTCATATTTTGTAAAACGGAAACAATTTTTTTATTAACAAACTCAACAATTTCAAAGTGAGCAATGGCAACACTGTACAGGATTTTTTTTTTTTAATCTCCAGCATGTGCGTGAGACTGTGTATTAGAAATTCTAAAGATATGGTAATTTTAAAATTATTTTACAATATTGCTGTTGAATTGAATTTTATGGTTTAAGTGCAAAGAACATATTATTTATTAAGTAAAGGTAACCCACAAAACGTTAAAAAAAAAAAAAAAAAAGCCTCTTTGGATGTAATGTAAAATTTGAAAGCCTCTGATTTTTCTTCTTCAAATTCCTTCATTTAAAACTCTTTTGGGCCATAGTGTTTTAAATCCAAATCTGGCAACTGCATTCAAAAGAGTTTTACTACATGTTTTACTACTTGCTGTAATTCTTACTTTCATGGATTTTTAAATGTGACATTTGCTATTTACAGTGGATTTTACAAGAGAAAAACAGAATTGCTATAATTTGGATTTATGGATGCTCTGTTTCTTCCAAATGCTATAGTCAGCTTTAAAAAAGAAGCTTAAGTGAAGGATGGCATATGCAAACAGGGAAGTCATTCAGTATCTGTGCAACAGTCTATTTACTACATAATCATAAAATTTTACTAAATTTTGTAACTAACACAATTTGATGTAAATTTTTATTTTGTTTAGCTTATAGTTTTGTAAACAATTTAAAATAAACTGTAAATGTAAACATGTCTAAAGATTTATTTTTAGCAGGTATATTTTGGTGGCCATAGTTCAACTGTTGCTGCAAACAATAATGTTAAACACATCATTGTAGTGGATGTAATACCTGGTTATGTATTCTGCTAGGTAGGCCTCTAAGTGATGGTGATACTCTTGTGTTTTTCACTGATCTGCATAAATATTATACTTTCTGACCGTAGCATTTTCTTATATGAGTGTAGATTGAAAGTAGTAAGCATGTTAAATATTTAATAATGAAGAAATGTTACAAAGTAAAAATATTGAATAGCAGGAGGGATGTGAATTTTGCATACACATGGAAATTGGTATTTTGTTCCTCACAAAGGCTGCTGTATCTTACTGTTATCAGAACTGCTAGCTGCCCTTACTATACATTGAATGAAATATTTCCAGAAATTTTTTGTTTCCACTGAATCTGGTTTGTTGATCAAAGAAAAACTTTTCAGAGCTGTGCTGAGTGAAACTGTTTTGGTTAGAAATTCAGACTAGTGCTTGGAGAAATGTGTTTCTTGGTGAAGCTTCTTACTGCAGGGCTCATCACTATACATGATAAAACCATTATGCTTCTTTTATTTAATTTCTGCTAATATAGATATAAATATAGTCTTTGTTTCCCATTATATTGCGCTGTTCTGTCCTTAGAAAACCATGGGATATTTTTCTATGATATTTGTGCATAGTGTTTTCACATAATTTTTAATTTTGTTGTGTTTTAAAAATTTGACCTTATTAAAGTACCAGAAAAGAATAAATTTTTAAGGTCTTTTGTAATGAATTTGAATAATATTTCTTCCTTTTCTTTTCCTTGAATGATTTTTAAGAATAGGAGTCTAGCAAATGACTTGTTATTCTTTGTGGACCCAAAATAAATTCACATGACCACTTAAGAGCGAACTCAAAATGTTAACTACTGATGTGCTATATAGAGCTGCTACTGATTTGCTGCATAGAGAAATGTATTATGTACTTCCACTTACTTTGATAAAATATGTTATTATTTAATAATGTGCTGTGTAAGCTTAACAAAACCAAGTGAAACATTTCTTTAATTAATAAAGAAAGATAAATAGTTTGATGAGCTCTCATAGGAGTTGACATCATAGAGGAACTCAATGTTCTGTGGTCTTAAACTGCATGCGTACTGAGTGCAGAAACATAAAGCTCTTGACTAGCCCCCCTTGTTTTTTAACAAAATGAAAATATTATTTAACAAAGAAATTTTTAAATTTTATTTACTAAATATTTATCAAAACATGCATAGCTACTACTACTAATAATGATGCAAAGGAAAAACATTCTAATTTATATGTTTCTGTCTGAAATCTAAAGGTTGTTATCAGCAAGAAACTTCTGTTGAATATGTTTTAATTCAAATACCTAAACATTAAATTTTTCAAACTGACATTTTATTTCGGTATGAAATTCAGTGGTTAATTTAATATATTGAATTAACCACTAAATAACTTACTTTGACTGTTCAATTTGTGGATTGCAATCGCCTTTTTTTTTTTTTTTTTTTTTTTGCATATTTTAAATCTCTATATATTGAAGAATTAAAAAAATGCATTTTTCCTTTCTAGAAATATTTTTTTATATAGATTTTTATCACGAGAAACTAAGTTGCCAGAAAAAAAACAATTTTTTAAATAAATTTCAGTCATATTACAGTTAATTTTTATTTATTGCATATTATAAAAAGTAAAATATATAAAATTTGAGAAAATATAAAGCACTGAGGAAAAAATATCTTAGAAATGCAGTTCAAAACAGGGTTCAAGGCAAAGTCCAACTTCATAGTCTTTGTACCAGATTCAATAAATTTAAATAATAATTCAATAATTTAATTAATCAAGATTATCGCTGAATGTTTTCTAGCAGCCATTTCTGTAAGAAAAAGGTGGAGTTTGAAGGGAAATACCACGTGCCATCAAACGGCGCAATTTAGTGGACGGTTAACGATATCTGTTGGCCAAAGCGTAAACGTCTAATACTGTATATAATTTATTTCATTGGTTAAATAGGGGGGGGGGTGGGATGTGCTCCTCAATAAAGAAAGAAAAATACATGCCCGCGGGATGAGCAGATTTTGCTACATTTGAGTTACCCGTGGAAATCGCGGGATTAGCAGCCAGAGGGGTAAACTAAAACTAAACACATCACGGAACTTTGACAATAAATAATGATAACTTGTTTTCTTTCTTTTGCTTATTAAATTTTCTTTGAATAATACATATAAAAATACATATATTTGTAGATAAACCTATTTATTTTTTAGTACATACATAAATTTTTTACATGCAATACAATTTAAATAATACATTTGCAAGTTTGACATTTTTTTCATAATGAAGCATGTAGAGAGGACATGAACATGTGGATTCGTAATTTCATTTCTTCACTCATAAGAACCTGCTGAATCATTATTTACTATTTTTTGCTTTCATAACCGTGTGATTAACACGCTGCACCTTAAGAATTGACTTCTGCAGGGTTGTCTAAACTTTTTTTTTTTAATATTAATAAATACCAAAACGCATGGTAACCTTATGTTGATATTATGCTTGCTGATGATTACAGACTGTAGGTAACTCCACTGCAAAGTGTTGAATGTGTTCACAAGAAGAAATTTAACAGAATTTCTTTCCATATGCAATAAAAAAAAGATTTTGTGAAGGATACTTATAGGCTAGAAAATTACATTTAATGATGTCTGAGTTGAGAATAACTAATTTGTTATTCATATAAGCTTAGGATTGGTGCCACAGCTGGTGTGGATATACCAGGTGGTAAGATTTTTAGAGTCTAGAGAAGCACCGAGCAACAAAATTAAGGGATGTCTCCAGAATCTCAGATCTGCACACTGGGCCACAAAATGTCTAGCGTCGGTCCTGGATAAGCCTTAAGTATATTTGGTGGTCGTGTGTGCTTAATGCATGATATAATTAAAGAAAATAAGAGTAGACAATCTCCTATAACAAAAGAATATATTAATACTAAATTACAATTTAAATTACATTGCAGAGATCAACACAGTTCATGCTACCTTCGCGTACAGTTGTGTGACGAGAAGTCTGAGTGAGTAAAGATGTCGCTTTGCTGCTCCGATTAAGAACTGGACTTTACACGTGGCGCCATCTCATGAATAGAAGTTGAAGTATCTGTCGGAACGCCACAGTACTCCCCCCCAAGTACCATCGGTACGTTATAAGTACTTTGGGTTAAATTTAACCTTTCTTCCAGATCTGGTAGTTTTAGGTTGCTCTTTAACGGAATGTAAGCTTTCTTCCGGGAGTGATGTTGATGAGGAAGTTGTTGGATCTTGCATTAGAAATGCTGGTTTGAGACAATCGATTCCAATCACTGATTGTTTGCCATTGCAGATGATGGTGAAATGTTTCGGTGTTCGTTTGACAACTTTGAATGGACCATCATATGAAGGTGTTAAAGTTGGCTTAATTGCATCGTTGCGCACGAATACGTGCGAAGATGTCTCAAGCGCAGGATGTACAAAATAGCTTGGCTGGTTATGCGAAGATGCTGGGGTTGGCGAGATATTGCTCATGGTCTCACGTAAACGTTGAAGGAATGTTGGAGGGTCGATTACTGGAGTAGATTCTGGGTGAAAGAATTCACCTGGCAGACGGAGGGTTGCACCATATAACATTTCAGCACAAGTGCTACCAATGTCTTCTTTGAATGCTGTGCGAAGACCAAGCAAGACTAGGGGTAAGGCTTCTGTCCAGTGTGTGCTACTGTGGCAC